ATGTATTAAGAGATGTGGGCAGCTCTGGAACGCTGAACTCCTGTGTAAGAGGATGAATTGTCCATTTAAAGCTTTGTCAGAACAGATAATCCTGCTTTGTACTGAAGCCATGCACAGGTAGAGGTGTTAGACTGTAGGTGTGCTAGTGATGTTTGGTTTCCAGCTGCTGAATTAAAGCTGTCTTCAGCTGCGAAGGAGTTAGGGATGCATGGATGGATGTTTTCTAGTAAGGTTGCCCTGCACAGAGGCTGTTTCTAGGTAGATGAGGAAATTTCTCAGAATGGTTGAAGGACATCAGTGATTGTCCTGAAGGACAGCAGAGATCTGTAGTTGTGGGAGAAGTGCTGGTTTGCCCTGTGTGGGGCAGGGAGGAGGCACAGACAGCCTCTAAATGTAAAGTTTTTCATACCTGCTCCTGTGAATTTTCATGTGAAAGGAGGCATTAGGAATTTTATACAGGACTTCCTATTTCAAGTCTGAATGACATTAAGCATTCAGTGTGAATATCCAGAATTCATTTGAAAAGTAATTGTTAATACAACTGTGAATTGTGATAGCCTAGATGAACTCTTTTATTTAGTATTTATGAAAGCATAGTTCAAAGTTTGCCTGGATACCAAATAGAGACTTCAAGGAGATAACACAGTGCAATCATGATATTATCTTAAAATAGGAAAATTGATATAAAGATGAATCTGAATCCAGAAAAAATAAGTAAATTTTAATGTTCCTATTTGTCAGTTATGTTTTACTGAGAAACCAATCTGTTTTTAAAACTAAAATGCATTTTTTTTTTAATTGCTAATTCTCCCTATACTAATGTGGCTGAGCAAATTGATTAAGAAAGTGCTAAAAGGGAAAAATTACATGCTCTACAGCCTCAGCAGCACAGTAAGAGCTGCAGTGTCAGGCAGGAAGCAACTAGAAGTGCTTTATGCAATGTTGCTCGATTTGCAATACTCTGAAGGTTGTGAACTTGTAATTTTGAGGCCATTCTCAACTGTCTACACTTTGTGATAGCATAAGGATGGAAGGATGATGTGAAGAAAATGCAGAGGAGCCTTTCTGGGAGCTGATTGCTAGTATAGTGCTGCAAGCACTTGAGTATGTGTGTAACTTCATCCGTGTTCTGAGGGGCGTGAGCGTGTGTTTCAGATGATTTGCTGCTGTATGTTCACTGATGCAGACTGCTGTGTTTACAGTACAAAGAGCAGGGGGAAACTATACCTGTATGACCACGTAGAATCTCAAATGATGTAGCATATTGTTGTACGTGCTATTTACTTAAGGGACTGTTGCGAAGTTTTTCTTAAAAATCTTCTGACCTCCTGTGTTGTATGCTTCATTCAGGTTGAACGCTGGAATGACACAGGGTGCATGAAATACATCGATGACTCCCTAATTCCAGATGGTATTGAGCTTTCTGGCCTTTACTTGATGTAGCATTTGCCTGCTGAAAAAACGAACAATAGCAACGAGCTCATCTGGGAAAGTGGGGATGTTCACAGTTGAGGAGTTGAAGTGCCTTTTGGAATTGGAGCCTCCGTGCTCAGAACATGGCAAGATCAAGGTCTTAGGAAGCATTGTTAGTATCTTAGAAGATCTGGAGAAGCTTTCCAATGTCATATGCTTCTTTCTTTCACATAAGTTGTAGAAGTACCTCCTGCCTTTTGTACCCTCTTTCTATATAGAGTCTGGTATGACCTGCCTCATTTTCTGATGCCTCAGCCACTTCCATGGTTGATGTACTCTGTCCAGTTGACTCATCACTGTGTATGTTTTCTTGACTTCTAATTAAAATCTGTTCTATTCTAATATTAGACCAAGACTCCTTGTTATATCACCCCTCATTCTTAAGTAATTCATCCTGCAACCTCCTTACTCTGTATGACTAATGTCTTTTTCTCAAATATTCTTAGAACATTTTAAAATACCATCTATATTATAAGCAGCACAGTAGAAATACCTCTCATTACAATTGCTTAATGCTTTCTGTCATAACTCAGTGCTTTCTTTTCTTAGGGTTTTGATGAGACTAACCATTTTGACGGCGTTCTCCATCCATTGATGTTTGCCTCAGCCTTAAATTTCCAGTTGAGAATGATTTTTTGTTTGGTTGTTTTTTTTGCTGAAAATATAATCAGTATTTCATAGAGAAGACATTTTTGAATCAGCTTCTGTTAGGTTCTCTCACAGAAAAGACAGATTTAATTTTTTTTTTTTTTTAAACGATGAGTAGGCTGAAAAATAGGGATGATTGACCGTTAGCAGGAGACTGAACATAGGAGGGGGAATGCTCACCAAACAGAAGCAAGTCTGGGAAATAAATTTCTGCTGACTAGAAGTGAGAACTGAATTGATGACCACTGAAAAGGAACTGGTTGCTTACCTAATCTTTGGGCATTCAAGAAATTCTTCCTAAAAGCAAAGATTAATTTATCTGGCTTTATTTTTTTTTTTTTTTTTAAATTGGATGTTCTCCATGTTTGTCTACCAATAACCACCTGAAACTTGGTTCCCTTACAGTGGCAAAAAGGATAAAGTTAATAACAATTATTTCTGTTTGTAAACAGAAACAGTTTATGTTCTCCTAAAGGTTCTGTTTGATTTTTTTGTCTGTAAGTAGTTTTGTGTTTGCTTGTCCAGTGAAAGAAAATAGATTCTGTGGATGGAAGGTGTTTTGTTGTAGCTAAGCAATATTGCTGTTTGGTTTTAATCCTTCATATATGCTTGCATTCTTCAGTTCCACTGAATTTACTGAAATAATTTAAAATAATAGCGATGAGCATACTTCAAAGCCTGTAAGGCCGAATAAAGCCACTGGGTTCATACTGTTTCCAGTTCTGTTGCTTCCATTTCAACTTGGTGTTACTGTTGAAATTTCAGTGTAGGGCTTCAAAAATTGATCCAATGACAGAACTGCAGAGTGAACCTTAAGGAGGCCAATACCTACAGTGTAGAAGAAAAAAAACCCAAACTAATATAAACCCTGGCACATGGAAAAGATACTAGATAGTGGAGAGAGGGGCTTTTTCCAGTTGTTGGTAAAGGCACAGTAAGCAGCTGAGGGCAACTATAGTTAGACAGATGAATCTTGTTGCAGATGATGGACTTGCTAGCCATAAGGCAAAATTACATATGCAGTTTAGTTTGACTTCAGAGTAGGTTGTGGTGTTTTGCTCTGATCTTGCAATTGGGGAAGCTGTAGACCACTGCACTTTACTTTTCACAGGCCCTTAGCAGAGGGAAACAGAATCACTTGCTTTGCACAGAACTTGATGACGAGCTGCTAGAGCAAGATGGTCATTGTGTGAGATGATAATGTATCTCATAAATAAACTGGAAACTTCTAACTGCGTATATTTAAATGTAGGAGAGGTATATGAATCTTCCTTGGAAGTCTGCTAACAGTGTTAGCTTTTACTCTGATCGTTGCAAGGTTTTCAGATGCATTCTCTCAGTTCACTGATAATGCTTCCCCTGAAATAATTAAATGATAAAATTAGTTGCGCTTTTCTCTCAAGGGCACAAAGATTTTCTTCCTTTGGAGCTTTGTAGCAGTTTAGGGGAAAGTTGAAAACAGTCATACACTACTTTCGATACAAGTGAGATCTTTCAACGTAGTAGCTTCATTTTGTTAGGTTAAAGCGTTAAAACAAGCTTTATTAAGAGAACTACCAAACAACTCCACAAATGAGCAGTGCCCATCTGTGTCCCTTCAAGACAGTTTAACAGCACCCAAAGGAAAAGGGAGGTGTTGAGGTTTCTGAAAGTTTGTGTTAGGGCATGTGTTAAGAAAACCCTCAGTTGTGGTGTGACTGGTATTCCCTGCTCCCAACCCCTCTGTGGGATATGTCTGTACTGACTGACAAGGGGAGAAGCGTGTGTGTTTAAGCTGACTTGCTTGACTTGATGGTATTTTCCTCAAATCCACATCATTTGACTTATGACCCGATGACTTGAGGTCAATTCTGGAGAGGAGTTTGAGGCTTGGTTGAAGTGTGTATGTAACTCAAGGTCATTGCAGGCTTCTTTCTGGGCTGGAATGTGGGTTGCTGCTTCTAATTAAAACTAAGCTGAGAACATACTGTTTATGCTGTGTGTATATAACTCTTTTAATTGGAAGCCCATAAGAGACAACTTTACATGACTAACCTGCAGAAATCTAGTTACTTCATTAAGAAAATAAAGTTGTCAGTATGATTTTTAAATTATTATTATTATTACTATTATTTTTAAATTGCTGGGAACCAAAGATAAAAAGCATTGCTTGATGGATGTTATCCATACTGGAGAACAGACTTTTGGGTGTCAGTCCTGCAGCAGTGAACCTGGTATAAGATGTGGTGAGAAAGGTGAGCCATATACTGCTGATTTCATTTCAAGTGATCTTTCCTTGGCCAACCTGTGATTCCTGTGAAAACAAACTGGTGCATTTCCAGTGCTTAATGACAGCTGTGGTGGTGCTCCAGACTAACCAGTTGCTGTCCTGAGGGCTGTTACTCTGCTAACAGAAGTTGTAGCTTTTATCAGGAAAACATAAACTGTATGTTAAATACAGGACACGCGATGGATCTCTCTATGGCAAATACTGGGAATAGGCAAGAGCCTTTTATTTTTCAGAATAAGTTGTTTTGTGTGTGCTTCAGTTAAGCTAAAAATATGTCCTTTGTATTACCAAAGTGCATAATGTATGTGGAATGTCCATGTTATGCAGCTTTACTGCCATGGTTTAATTTATAGCCCAGACTATCCTAAAGATGTTATTCTGCTAGAAAACAAGTTAATGAAGTTTGAGTAACTGTGTAGAAGTACATTATAGTATGTCTTTAGCTAGTTTTAGTGAATTTTTTTCTTCTGCTCTCAGAAGCAAGTTTTTCACTAGGTTTCTGAAGCTTTAGATAAGATGCATTAAAAAGTGTTGTTCTAGCTTTGAATTGGTATCCAGGTGTTCCAGGACCCTAGTAAATAAGTAATCTTGAAATGTGTTTTGAATTTAGAAGCTGGTAAGATATTCACCTGGGGCAGAGCGGACTATGGGCAAGTTGGAAGGCATGCCGTGGTTCCCGACGGGCAGAGGGTGTGCACAGCATCTGAACAACGCTTGGAGCTGTTGAGTAACACCCCTATTTCAGTGCCTTGCCTAAATGGAGCATCTCAGGTAAAAAAAGAAAATGACCATTTTTTCCCCCAAGTTGTGGATTGGTGTGTGTTTTTGTTTTGTTTTTTGTGCATTAAAATAATCATACCAATTTCCTAATATAACCCTTTCCCAATTTCCTAATAGAATGCTGCAGCACAAGCCCTCGCTGCTCTTCCTGTAAGCTCAGAAGTTAATATGATTCAGTTATTTCAAATTTCTTAAAAGGCTTTTGCATTGTTCCCATGGTGGAACCAGAGTTACCATAAGCAGAAGATACCAAGCTCTCTCAGATATCAATGTGTGTAGGAGACAATTGCACTGAGCAGATGAGGTGGGGCCCTGCCCGGTGCCATGCTACCTTTGTGTGAAGCCCTCTGTAATGGTTTCGCCAAGGGCCTTTCTCCAGCTGCTAAATAGTAATGCCACAGCTTCTAGCTCAGGCTATGTAAGCAGGTCATGAATATTTCTCTACCTTATAACATCATTGAGTGGTATTGCATTTCTTTTCATATGGCTAATTTGATACAAAATGATTTGTCCTCAAGTATAAAGATGGTCAGAAAGAAAACTTTACTCAAGTTGTTTGTTGTAGTCTGACACAACATGCAACCTGTAGTGCCTACAAACCATTTTCTTGGCTTTTTAGTGTATGAGAGGCTGTGTATGGCAGTTGGTCTGTTGGCAGGCAATGTGCAGGTCCCATGTGGGCAGATAATCAGTCAAAAGGTATGCATCTCCCTGGGGGGCAGCTGGCACTCAAAATGCAAGGGGGGTAAGTACAGGTTGACAGCTTCAGCTGTAATGTACGTATTACGTCTCTGCCTCCTGGCAGTCTCCCCTGGTGAGACTTTGGTTGGAAGAGTCAGCCTCTGCCCTTTGCCATCGTCAGTGTTCTGTGGATGTGTACACTCACAGATGTGAAGTGGAGCTTCAGAGCCCAGGATGCTGCACTAATGAATAATTTCTTCAGTCAGTGTTCAGTCTCAAACACCTTTCTTACTCATTTTGAGATGGATGTCCCTTCTTTTGCCATTAGATGTCTGTAGAGAACATAGTTGTTGAATCTATTTCACTATGTTTTTTCACCTGTGCTTTGGACAGTGCCTCAAGTTTGTAGTTTTGTCATTTCTCATACAATACAAAGCAAGGCATCTGTAGCTTTTGCACAGGGAAACTTACGCTTTGGCAGGACAAGTGGTCCATGAAGGTGAAGGAAAGTGATTCATTCCTTGAAAAGGAAGAGAAAAACCATCTCGTCTTCAATCTGCTGCCCTCAGCGCTGTTCCTCCTTACAGACCTATGAGAGACCTGATTTAAATGATTAGCAATGACAGTGTTCTGGAGCAGGCATCATTCTTTGCAGAGCTAACAGCATGAAGATGATTTAAGAAGAGTGTGATCAAGAGCTAGCATCATTTGTACCCTGAGAGGAGCTGTGTTGATGAGAAAAGGAAAAAGCAGATAATAAGAGCCTAAATTGCTACACTTCAAGATTACAAAATAATGCCAGAGCTAGAATTTATGTTTAAAAATGCATTCAACTGCAGTATGTAGGCTATGTAGTGTGAGCTGTCTTTTGTTTACACACAAGCTGTCCCTTTTTCCATTTGTTGTCATATGGAGATGAGGTTTGATTTGAAAGCCGAATTAAAAGGAATACAGAGAAGATGAGTTCTTTTCCATGTTTATCTTGAATTAGTAGTTCCAATTTATATGTTTAATGCAGAGAGCCAGTTTTAACAGATGAGGATTACAACTAATGTTTTTTATCCACAATCTATTTTTACAAATCACATTTAATGATTCAACTGAATTTTTGGCAAAGTTGTTGTCTGCTGATTGCCTCTGCTCTTCAGTTAATATTGTTAAAACCAAAATGGAGAAACTAATCTAAGGATTAGAGGACAGTGTAAAAGGCATGCTAGTTTTCCTCAAGGACAGCGCAATAGATTTAACCTCCTGTGCTGCTCCTTGTCTCCATGCCCATGCTGTACCTGCTTTTTCCACCAAAGACCAGGGATTCTCCTTTCTTTGTGCTGAAATTGATAGAATGTCTGTGTGTGTCTACCACTTAAAAACCAGGTTTTTGAAGTGTTGAGTGACCTATTCCATTGTGAGTTTCACTTCATCTGACAAACTCAAGTGGAAACATTGACCTTGAGAAATAAGAGCACTTTTTTTTCTTTCAACTGAAACAATGGAAGAAGAAAGCCTGAGGTTTAGATCTACTAATCTGAGTGTGTCTTCCTGGCAGCTTTAAAAGAGTATGTGGACATCGGGTTCCTGGAGTCTTCTGTACTCAAACTGTTTGAAATATGCAACTGCAGGTTTATTTACTATTTTCTTCACAGTGCTTTGGTGCATAACCACCATGGAATAGGATGAGGCACTGAAAAGAAACTTCAGGTTGTAGCTGAAGTCAGTTGTGCAAAACATTATGCATGCAGTGCTCTTGTGTTGTGGGGCATCCTTGATTGGACCTCTTCAGAACATCTGACTCATCTGCTGCCTGATGTGCATTCATATCCACCACTCTTCAGATGAAAGGACAATTAAATACAAATGGCCTGAAATATGATGAGCCTCTGAATTTAGCAAATGCTACAAAGACCTGGTTTAATGTTTCCTCCTTGTCAAAATGCTTTTCCAGTCTGTTTGATATTTTTGGTTTTAATAGCTATCATTTCACTGTTTGTGGTATGTTCAGCATGTCATTCACATTGCAGCAAAAATTTGCTACAGCAATAAGCAAGTGAGAAGTCATTGTGCAGTGCTGAATGTTTCTTGCTAAACTGAATGGAAGGGTGGGCTACAGTCATTTTGGATATGCAGCACTGTTTATATCGAGCCATGTTCTCATTGTATCCTTTCTCTACTTAGCCTGTGCAAGATTACAGTTTTCTGAAACTTCAGTCAAGAAATTAAAAAAAAATTCTGTGTCACACTACCACTTTTGGCTTTTCTTGGGCTTAATTCCTTCCTCAGTTTTACCACCACCCAACTTAAATTTTGATGGTGGATGTAGGGGCCCCTTGTGTCAGGGAATTAAAATAACTGATGGACTTGTGGCAACCTGTACCTGCTGTGTTTATCCTGATCCTGCTGCGGTCCATAATTCCAGTGTGTACATTCGTCCTGTGTTATATAGATTGGTCTGGATCCTTTTTTCAGGGAATGCCATCATGAATACACACATTCTCATAGCCCTTTGCAGTCAGAGTTTATTGCCACTCTTTCCAGGGGCAGTAGCAGCTCCAGTAGTATGTCATTCTTGTTTAAGTATTTGAAAGATAGCTTTGTTTTTAGTATATTCTTGGTTTTTCCCTTTTTTCCCCATTTGGGGTTGCAAAATATTAAGCATCTACCTGTAAGACAAATCCAAGATGATGATAATTAATTGGTTGGTTATTATATGACTGTTAGGTTAAGCATAGTTATTACCTTAATGTATAGACACAGTAATATTGAAAATGGAACCTTTTGGTTTACAAAAACGACAACTGTTTTTGTCTTTTTCTGTCTTAATGAAAAGTGTTAGAAGCCTATTTGTAAGTAGAGCAGTAGTTGAGACTTTAAGGGGTACTAAAAGAAATAACCTGATAGTATTACATATGCATCATCTCTGTGCTGTGTTTGCAGCTTTTTTATATTTAGTTATTTGACTTGGTACTGTAAATATTTGTGGCTATGTTCTTTATTTTGAATGGTCAAAATGAGAGGTTTATATTTTTGTAGGAAAGAAAAAGCAAATTGAACTTTCCTAAACCAGAGTTTACTTCTCAGAGTTTGAGAATATATGGGTATTAACTGATCCAATAAGCTGCTTAAAAAAAAACCAAAACACTTCAGGTGTTAGCAAAGGAGGTAAATGCAAAAAGGTCTTTCTGGTTTTTCAAACTCAGTAACTTTTAGAGAATCCGAGGATGTAGTTCAATAGAAATGGTGTTGTGAAACAAAGGTTCTGTAAACTCTGTTTACTCTGGAAATATTAATATGCTCCATGAAAACTGTAATTTTATCATAAATAATTTGGTGAGGTGAAGCTCAGCTAGTTAACACTAGGTGAAAGGATGGGGAGCTTCACTTTCCTCTACTTGTGGCTATAAGTAGAGTCTAGATAATCAAGTTTAGGTGTGTAATTTTTGTAAAGCAAATAGGAGATGATAGTGGTTCCCAGCACAGTGCTTCCCATCACCCATACCAATTTCTCTGCAGCTGGCATTGTAGAAAGGGAGATGGGAACTCAAATTCACACCAAGTAAATGCCAAAGGAGAACTCTCACACTGCCTTTGCTTGTCAGAGAGCATGTGCTGTGTGAGTACAAACTAGAGGTTTCTCAATTATCACTTTTGCAGATGTGGGCTGGTTTAAAATGACCAGAAGTGCTCTGCTGGGGTTGTTCTGTAGCACTGAGGTGCCAGCCAGGGGTCAAGCTGCTTTGTAATCTGTATGGAAGACCATGAAAGGTTGATTTGCCTACAGTTTGGGTGACGTAGGAGAGGATGGACAGGATGAAGTCAGGAGTTGGGGACTCACCGAGCATGTGATGACTGATGTGTTATAAATGCAAGTGTGGGTGAAACCTTAATCTTCCAAATTCTTAAATTAATTTTCCATTTGATAGCATGTTGCAGTTAGAATTCCAGATTAATACCTCACTTGGAGATCTCTGCAAGTATGAGGGAAATGGAAAGACTAAAACTACTTGCAGCAGTAGCCATGGCTTGAGCAGTAGTGTTGCCATTGGCAGCTGTATTTAATAAGCCCCTATTAGTAGTAAAATGACTAATCTAAGTTACCTTATGTATAACTCTGACCTGCGTATGCTATATTCCTTAAATTAAACATACTGACTTGGTCCCATCCTTCTGCATGGATTGTTCTAGTAACAGTGCACCAGGACTGCAACTCACTCAGCTCAGAGACAACTTGTGATCCAGCTCAGTGCTCCTCTGAAGTATTTCTTTGCACCAACAAATGCCATGAACTTTCATTAGTGCCATTCACGTGCATGATG